AGGTATTGTCAACATTGTATGATCAGCCTTCAGCAAAATAAGTGGATTTTTACCCTCTGGTTACCCCCCAAAGACGCAAAGTATTATGGGGATGTGAAAAGTAGAGAATCGCGAAACGCCTTTTTCAAAATCTTCTTTCTATTGATGGTTTTCAACCATTCCCAAGAGAATTAAATAACAAAAGACACGGCGGCCATGTTGGAGGATATAACGAAAGAATTCTTCGACAATTTTTTGTCTTAAAGTCCTCCAACGTGGCCGACGTGAAAACCATCAATATATTTATGGGGTGATGTAATAGACTCCTGAATCCCACCAATGGTGACGTTGTGATTTAGTGTAATTTCGTAACAGGCATAACTTTTATACTTTCTCGATGAGTAAAGGGCGATTTCTACAAAAATAAAGCTAAAAATTTTATTTTCGAGTTCAGAATTACCGCTGTATTTCTTGATTACAGGCTAATTTACTCAGGCTTAGCCTCGTATCAGTGTCTAAATATTCATAGATATATTTATCAACGGTATCTACCAACGGTACTTCAACAATACAAACACTTTAAAATTCCACGGGCTTTCAATGCAGGTCATTGAWATTCTGCACAAAATTTAGGCTATCCATGAGCAACAGACAACTCGAAACTCAAGTTTTACAATTTTATAAAGAGCTGTTCTTTTAGTTGCTGCTAATGCTAAATCATAACCCTTCCACCTACAACGTCCATAGTCCATATTGCACTTCAGGTTGAACGCGTAAAGAGACTTGTCTTAGCTAACTTATCTCTTAGATTGTATTAGCTAACTTGTTAGCGAGAGGCCTTATTCCTGGGAAAGTTTTCTTAGGAATATCGGTCATTTGAGCACATATGACGCAGCGGCTTCTCCCATGAGAGTATCAAAATGGTTAAAGGATTTTTTTTTTACAAAGAAATAGCCTAAAGCGATCAATTCATCGCAAACAGATTCTCACATGTTTAAATGTTTTCGAAACTACTAATTTACACATGGTCTTTCTTGTTATAAAATATATATTGGAAATCATTAATTGTTCGTGCTGTTGTTCCCAGTCTTCCCCTCCTTTTTCATATGGTCTATTCACAGCCGCCATGTGGAATGAATTTAACAAAAGATTCGTCATTATTCTCTTTTGTTATATCATCCAACATGGCCGCCGTGTCTTTTGTTATTTCATTCTCATGCRAATGATTGAAAACCAGTAATTGATCTTACTGTGTGTAGGGAGGTGGGAAGCGGCTTCTTCGAGACGTAGTATATGAGTAAACAGGATATGTAAAGTCAGTATATTCTGAATATACAAACATTAGTGCAATCGAATAGTATGAACTTACCTTTATCAAACCATTAATAATTCATGAGGAAAACAGAAATCATGACCGTGAAGAGTGTTGTAAGTCTGATACAAAACTGTGTTCATTTGCATAAACTTTAAGTTGGATTTTCTTGGCCAAATTCACTTTAATTTTGAAAATTTTAGTTAAACACAAAGGAACTAACCTAGACGAAGGACTAGCGTCCGAAACGTCAGTAAGTTTTTTCATCTTTTCAAGGTGTATAATTTACCTTTTCATCATTACTGTTTCATTAGAAACACCGACGCAGCTCACACTAGTTTTTAGCTAGTTATATCTTTTTAGACGTTTGATAAGTAATCTACAGTATTCGTGTCCGTGTTGTATCAGATATACAATCACTCAGCTACGCCTCGTGGTTGTATATCTGATACAACACGGCCACTCATACTGTATATATTACATAATACGAGTTCAAAGGAAAACAATTTATGAAAATTAAAATTGTTGCAGTTGCACTCTTGTGATCAAAAACACTGTAATTTCTATGAATCTCGAAGAAAAACCTTCCTCYTTGCCATATGAATCAAGCATTCCTGAGTGAACTCAATTTTATATGGATCAAAGCAGTGGAATGTGGTCAACGACGCGAAGCTTTGTTAGCTTACCCGAACAAAGATAAGCCAAATAATAGTAAAGGATATGTAAGAAAAGCCTGTCCTATTTCGGCGACTACTAGAAAGTTTATGATTTTCGGATGCAATAAATTCATTTCTTCATGTCAGGCTCGTGTCAAACAGACGGATTTGCTTGGGAAAATTAATATTTTCGCTTCATGAAAAGGGCAATACTCTTTTTTGAAAATAGCATAATTGAGGGATTATATTTTCACACATTCCTCCAAAATCATGGCTCTTTCCTGTTTTTAGAAGGGTAACTTCATATTTTTCGAATTGGTAAAAGATATATAACATTTCTGTATTGATGGATGTGATCTTTTGAAGTTGATTACATTGGTAATCGAACTACCATATTCAATATCATATTCTTATACTCATTAGTTGTGCATGAGCTCATCGACCAACCAGGGTTTCTTATTCGTACCACGTGCAATAGTTTGAAACCCCCATCAAGTACGACCGCACCCATATCAAAGTTCTAGTACTTTGAAATATTTCAAAGCCCTGCTACTATAGAACTTTGAAATATTTCAAAGTACTATAACTTTGAAATAAAAGCAAACATATAACATGTACAAAAAGAGTATAAGATGTCGTGTCAAATACTCGTCACTGTATTCTATTGGGAGGACGGTACGCCTCGGCATTTGAAAYTCCACTCGGATTTTGAAACCCCAATAGAATACGGTAACTCGTATTTGAAACATTACTTCTTGTCGTATTTCTGAAGAATTTRCCGTTTTCATGCATATAAACTTTGTGTTTATCAATCTCACGGTTTTCAATCGATAATGGTTCGTAAAATGGGGTGACAATTTGGCAACGCTTGGAGGATCTAGGGGGCGGGTCATTTACGTTCTTATAAATGGGAAAACCTCTAACGCAAATTAATATTCGTGACGTGCTAATTATTCGTAGGCAATACCTTTATATATAGCAGCTTATTCAATGCAATGTTTACGCAGCAGGCAACCCAGGTCACCCTTTAAGAGCGTTTTTTTTTCAGTGGGGAGTGTTTATGTTCTAGGTTCCTTTGTTTCTCTACTACAAGTGTCCCAACTAACCATTATAGATTCTTTGTAAATATTTTTGCCACTTTTGAAAGCCTTTAAACTTTAATTTTTTTTTCATTCAGACATGTTCAAACTTGCCAGATATTTTCCCAATTTAGCGTGACAAACCTCTGGGGGAATGAAGAGCCATTGTTTTGAAACCTGTCGGGATATCATCGTTACTCGAATTTTTCGAAGAGTAAAAAAGAAAGAAAATGAATCCCCTGGAGGTTCGTCACGCTGGATTGGGAAAACATTGTCACACCACAAATAAGGTCTATSAGACAACAATTCAAAACTCGCCCTAGTCTATACCTCTATGTRCTATAGTGGGCTATAGGGATATAGAGATATTTTTGCTATATCAGTAAAATGAAAAGCTTCGGTTAGTAAGTGGACGGTCCTCATGCAACGTACATACTTTCTCGACAAAACTAGCGCTGTTAAAATTATTGGCTATTGGATATTTTTAAATGKGACTTAAAAAGAGATCCCACTTGGTTTTGGCACCTGGGTTTTTCCTGTTGACGCCTTTAGACTCTAGCAGAACTRAATTCTTATTTGTATTTTTTCGATAACTAATAAATTATGAGGTCTGAGCCTTTCTTTTTAGTAATGAGACTTTTTCATCTTGATGTTCTCTTAAATGTATAAATTTCTTTTTTTAATTCAAGCCAGCGGTACATCAATGAGGCTAATTGAAAGCTGCCTTGGCATTTCTGAAGTCAAAACGTACATGACAACTTACTTTTGGACATCTGTTTCATCAGAAAAAATAATTTCTTTAATGCGGACTCCTTTTTTTATTTATTTGCGTCAAAACGTTTTATTGAGTGGCTGAAAATTGAGATTTAGAATGATTTCATCACTGGAATAAAAAAGTAAAATAGTATCGTTTGATGGCCAATCATTTTTTGTCTAAATAAATGAGACTCACCAATAAATACCATACATATTAGCATCACAATATCTTGAGGTAAAACGGCTTGGAACGTTGTCATACGCATCGGATGCAGATGTTACTACTTGATTCAAGGTCTGTTGTCTTAACTGAATCGCTGGAAAAAGCTCCGTCTTTGGGTCCTTTTTATTACGTCAGGTAAACATTTTGCTTGAAAATATTCCAAARTATTACCACCTTTTTAGAGCCTATTAACACAGTTTATAGTTTGATGCAAAAATATCTTTAATTTTGGATTTGGCTTGGTGTCTCTGAAATCTAATAATCGATGATTTATTGTTACAAATCAATCATTTTACTTATAAGGATAATGTTCAAGATTTTACCATACATAGTTAACACGTACATTAACACCCCAAATCCACTTAGCAATCGTAAGAAGTAGATGGTTTGTATGGCGTTTATAATTAAACCGACGGGAAAGTTATTCGCTTTACGTGCACAATACCGAGTATTTTGTATTTAACAGATGATAGGACGTCCTATCACCACCTCAAGGGTTTTCTTGGGTTTCAATCTTTACTTTTACTTTTTATTGACCTTTTGTGAGCTTAAATCGACTTTTATTACTTTGAAGTTTTAACTGAATTTAATAATATCTTTTCGCCAAATACCTTCATTCGCTAAGCTTTCATGTTTACAGTAGAAAATGTAAAGCAAGGATAACCTTGGCATCGATCTAATAAAATCCRTTGTGTTTTTTTTCCGTCGCCGAATAGAAGCACCTGTTTGGTATTCTGTTCTACTACTGCTGCTACAATATCCAGTCATCAATAATACATTACTGATGAATATATTACTAAGCATGAAATTTAATAAGGAAGCGCTTCATTTCCGTACGATTAAGATGTTTTTGGGAGCGAAAGAGTGATAAAGTATGGGTACTAATTAGTAATTCGGCATTATTGCTCTATATTTGACTCAGCAATATAAATATTTCCTTCTCAGACAAGTTTGACAAATATATGAGTAGTATAAGATAAACAACTAAGTAAAGTTTTTGAGCTCCAAATAATTATGTAAAGGATGAATTGGTTTTCTGTGAGAGTAAGAAGACTGGCACAAGACATGTACAATGGTTGAGTTTTACATATGAGCACTATTTAGACCGGCTTAAGGTGGCTCGCGCCTATTTCACAGGKAGACAAGACTACAAATCTAATTTCGAATTTTTGTGACGTGATAAAAGGATGTTTGAACGTCATATTTAAGGAGAATTGATATTGAAAAAATTGACTGATTCCATGATGAATAAGCAGCTTTCCAAACGGGGATAACACAAAAGCCTTCCTCTCCACAAAGACACTGAGGCAAAGTTATATTTTTTCGTCGGTCCAATAAACTACAGGCTTTTAAGGAACTAATTTTTACGTACTGTTTTTTAAGGGACGATAGAACTTTCCAGAACTACAAAAAAAAAAAAGAAGACTTAAGAAGAAAAAAAATTGGTCAAAATCAAATACATCGCAAGATAGTGGAATATTGTGTCTATATGAATCATTAGTAATTTAAAAYATTTCTCTTTTCGGTTACTGCAAAACATGCCTTGAACTAGTACCTCTAGGCATTACTCGTTAAAGCGCACACTATGGTTTTTTCCCGATAACAATACTGTTGCATTTAACACTGACGCATTGTTGAATCACTTTGACTCTGTTCCAGTCGAAACATCCTTTTCATATCTGTTTACTCAGTTAGCTCATAGCTAACTMTTGTGAGCTTAGCAGAGTAAGTGCTAACTTCATTACATATAAACGTCTAAGTAAATTTCAACAAAGACATAATATCGCGAAATTAAAGTAAAAAAAAAAACCAAAAAAAACCAAAACAAAAAAACAAAAAACTAGTCATTCTTGGTGTACTTGTTTTGTAGATCACACACAAGTGACACGAGTAATTTTTGGTGTACTGTTTTGTAGATAAAGATGATACTTGAAGAAAAAACTCCTCCGAGTAAGTCTGTGGACTCCTATGTACGAGAATACTGTCAGTACACAACAACACATGGGTTCAGCAGACTTTCCGAAGCTCGCGATCGTGGTGTTTCATGGCACGTGTTTTGGATTTTCATGTTAATCGGAGCCCATTCTTTATTTTATTATCATACCTATCTACTAATCCAAKACTACATGGCAAAACCCATCAGAACTAAAGTAACGATGAGACATGGCAAGGTTAGTGACGTGAATGAAAGTCCACTCATACGATCCGAGAAAATCGTCTTCTGAATGCTGTCTTCTTATTACGATATATATATAAAAAAAAAGAGTCGGGCATAATAACATCTAAAAATGGTAGATTCTGCTTAGAAACTTAAAACACTATGGAATCCGTGGAGTTCCATCTGAATGTTTCCTTTCTTATCTGTCTAATAGGAAACAATTTGTTTCTAAGAATAAATTCAGAGTATCAGTCACCTGCAGAATCCCKCAAGGCTCCGTTCTAGGACCTCTTCTTTTTCTCATCTACATAAATGCTATTTACAAATCCTCTAACGTACTTGACTTTCATTTATTCGCTGATGATCGAACTTATTCCTTAATGATAGTAATTAACAGCATTTAGAAAATAAAATTAGTTCTGAATTCTATAAATTTTCACAATGGTTAAATGCAAACAAATGATCTCTCAGTATTGAAAAAAAAAAACAAAGTTTATCCTTCTCCATCCCTCACAAAAAAMGATTCGATATCCATTAAAACTATCAATTGGAACTCATCTAATTAAGCAGAAGAAATCCGCTAAATATCTAGGCCTCATTATTGACAATAGCATGAGTAGGAAACAGTATATTCATGAGTTATGCGTGTAACAAAATTTCTAGAGGCATCGGTATATTTTCCAAACTGATACACTACTTCAATTAATCTGCTCAAAATCGGATGGACGCCACGGCACTGAGGACGTAAAGAGACCCTGGCAGTGACCAACCTCAGTGTCTGGCATTTAGTAATGATTTCTTAATGGTTTATGGTGGTATGGGTATGGGGTTTTTTTTTCTAAAGGGGGTTGAAAATTGGTGCAATGTACTTCGAAAGGCTCTATACCCTGTGTCTAGATCTTATTGTACAGCGGCCAGCCTGCGGGCAAAATAATCAATATATATTTCGTAGCACTATAAAACGTAACCTTACGATCACAGTCATTGAGTAGAATCATCAAATCTACAGCTATTTTTAGGTTYTCGAAAAACATTTATAGAAGTCAAGTCACAGCCGGCTACTTTGAAAGAGTTCACAAAGAAATTCAACCCACAACTTTCAAACCTTAAAGTGCTACTTGGACGAAAATCGCTCCAAAATTAAAACTCTTTCATTTGAGCTGAAACTTTGCTGAAATAATCCAAGTAGCACTTTAATTAATGGTTGAAAACATACTACTTTGCATTTGTTTATGATTGTTTGTTATTTTGTTTTATTTTATTATCATTAGAACTTGGCATTTCCTACTGTTACAATTTGCAATCAAAACTGTCTAAGAAAGAGCAAAGTTCCCTTGGATTTTAAAAATGAAATTACAAGAATTACAAGAGCAGCAAGTAAGAAGTTTTTTTTTGTTTTATCACTGAGTGGCAGATTTAGGGTTTTGAAAAGGGGAGCTATGACACACCCAAAACATGCAACCCTATTCAACTATTTATTTAAATAGCTTATTTGAATAAATAGGCTGTTTGGCTGGTCCGTCCAACCAACCAAACAACTGATGATTTTATAAGAACATGCGTAATAGGTAAATTACGAGCCTTACAGCCTCATCTTTCATGAACTGATGATTTTAGTTGATTCTTAGGTGGAAAAAAGACGAAAAATACAACACGCAAATCCCCAAGTAAAAGCGCTTTACCAGATCCTAAATTGAAACATGCTGACCATGCTGAATGGGAACTAATTCGAAACCTTTTTAATAAATATGACACAAATGAACTGAAAGAATATGGGCATCAATTGGAAGACATGATACTGGACTGTAGATTTAATGGCGAGGACTGTACGCCGGGGAGGTAACACTTTTATTAAGATGATTATTCTTATCCGTTTAAATTTTTGTCTGTTTTGTTTGATTGTTTGA